TATTCCCTCCCCCCTCCAGGGCCCCTGCCCCAACTCTTTCCCGCCCCCACCCCGCCTCTTCCCCCAAGGCCCCATCGCTTTTTTCTGCCAGAAGCGGGAAGCCCACCAAGCAATCTTTAGGACCACTGGACAATCAAGGTGCTAAAGGAGCACTTGAGGTAGATAAGGCCCTTGCAGAGAAGCTAAATAAATTCTCAGCATCCATCTTCACAGCCATGTGCGTGAAGGAGAGTCTCACCCCTGAGCCCTTCTTTTTAAGATGGCAAATCTAAGGAACTGTCTCAGACTCAGGTGGCCCTAGAGGTGCTTTTGGAACTAATTGATCAATTAAACAGTAATAAGTCAGCAGGACCAGCTGATATTCACTCACGTTTGGAGGGAACTCCAATATGAAATTGCAGAACTACTAACTGTGGGGAGTAACCCTATTGCTTCAGTCAGCCTCTGTAGCAGATGACTAGAGAACGGCTCGTACGACACCAACTGTTTAAAAAAAGACGCAGAGCTGACCCTGGCAACTGCAGGCTGGTGAGCTTAGCTTCCGTTTCAGGCCAATTGTTTGCGCTACAGTAAAGAACAGAATGATCAGACACAAAGATGAGCATAACATGTTGGGGGGAAGATTCAGTACAGCTTTTGTAAAGGGAAATCATGCCTCACCCATCTATTCAAATTCTTGGTGGGGGGCGTGCGGGGGGATGTCAAACAAACATGCAGACCTGGGTGATCACGTAAATTATATTGACTGGAACTTTCAGAAAGCCTTTGACAAGGTTCCTCACCAAAGACTTTTAAATAAAGTAAGGAGTTATAGGATAAGGATAAGAGGGAAGGTCCTCTTCTGGATCAGTTAAAAGACAGAAAACAAAGGGTAGGAATAAGTGGTCAGTTTTTACAGTGGAGAAAGGTAAATAGCAGGGTTTCCCCAAGAATCTGTACTGGGACCAGTGCTGTTTAACATTCATAAAATGATCTGGAAAAAGGGGTGAACGGTGAGGGGACAAAGTTTGCAGATGATACAGAATTACTCAAATCCAAAGCAGACTGCAAAGAGATCTCACAAAACATGGTAACTTGGCAAGAAAAAGGATAGATGAAATTCAATGTTGACAAATGCAGAGAAATGCATATGGGATATTATCCCAACTATATATACAAAGTGATGGGTGATAAATTAGCTGTTCTCAAAAAAGATCTTTGAGTCATTGTGGATAGTTCTCTAAAAACATCTGGTCCATGTGTAGCAACAGTCAAAAAGCCTACAATGTTAACCATTAAGAGTAGGATAGATAGTAAGACAGAAATTATAATGCCCCTATATAAATCCATGTTATGCCCACATCCTGAATACTGCATGCAGTTCTGATCACCCCATCTCAAAAAAATATATATACTAGAATTGGGAAAGAGTATAGAGAAGGGCAACAAAAATGATCGGGGGATGGAACAGCTTCTATACAGGGAGAGATTAAAAAGACAACTGATGGGGTGTCATAAATATAAAGGAAAGGGTAACTACCTTTATGTATGCAGTAATAGAAAATCCCTCCTGGCCAGAGGTACAGAATCCCCTTACCTGTAAGGAGTTAATCAGTTCAATTAACCTAGTTCGCAAAAGGAAAAGGAGGACTTATGGCACCTTAGAGACTAACCAATTTATTTGAGCATCAGCTTTCGTGAGCTACAGCTCTAGTTGGCACCTGCCCAGAAAGGCCAATGGGGAAAGAAGATACTTTCAAATCTGGGATGGGAGGCTTTGTTTTTGTGCTCGGTGTGTTCTCTCCGGAGACAAAGAGAGAGACCAAGGACGTAATCCAGCTCCTACTGAATGATACATCTAAACTTACAGGAAGAGTAAGTAATAGCAAGGAAATGCGTTAGAGTATCTCGTTTAGCTTGTGTGTTTTCCCTGTGCTTAGAGGGAGGTTTATCCCCGTTTTTTGTAACTTTAAAGTTTTGCCTAGAGGGGAATCCTCTGTGTTTTGAATCTGATTACCCTGTACAGTTACCTTCCATCCTGATTTTACAGAGGTGCTTCTTTTACTTTATTGTAAAGTTCTGGGTGGGGGATTTTTTGTTATTATTAAAGAATCTGATTGGCTTTAGTGTCCTAAAAACCCAGGGATTTGGTCTAGGCTCACCTGTACCAATTGGTTAGTATATTTTTCTCAAGCCTCCCCAGGAAAGGGTGTGAAGGGACTTGTGGGGAATATTTTGGGGAACAGGAACTCCAAGTGGTTCTTTTCCTTGAATCTTTGTCTAACTCATTTGATGGTAGCAGCGAATACTGTCCAAGCACAAGAAGGGATTTGTGCCTTGGAGAAGTTTTGACCTAAGCTGATAGAAATAAGCTTAGAGGGTCTTTCATGTGGGTCCCCACATCTGTACCCCAGAGTTCAGAGTGGGAAGGGAACCCTGACATGGGGGATATGATTGAGATCTAGAAAATCATGCCGGGTGTGGAGAACACCAAGACGGACGTGTTATTTACCCCTTCACATAACACAAACCAGGAGTCACCCAACAAAATTAATAGGCAGCAGGTTTAAAAAGAAACAAGTTCTGACATCACCCACGGCACCGGCCACTTGTGGCACTTGTTGCCAGGGGATGTTGTGAAGGCCAAATGTATAGCTGGGTTAAAAAAATAATTCTGTACGTTTATGAAGGACATTCCATCAATGGCTATTAGCCAGGATGGTCAGGAACCCCACACTAGGCGGCTCTGGTGTTCCTAAGGCTCCGATTGCTTGAAGCTGGGACTGGATGCCAGGGGATAGAACACTGGATAAACTGCCTTGTTCGGTTTGTTCCCTCTGAAGCATGCGGTACCAGCCACTGTCGGAAGACAGGATACTCACCCAGCATGGCCGTTCTTATGACTCCAAGATCTCGTTCTTGAGTGGTAACAGCTAACTTAGACCCCATCATTTTGTATGTGTAGTTGGGATGGTTTTCCCATGTGCATTACTTTGCACTTGTCAACATTGACTTTCCCTGGAAGGGGAGGCACGGAGTGTCTGGCAGGAGGCAGCTTCCTGCTCCCCTCTTGACCCTTCAGCATAGCCCCCTTTGCTTCACCTGCACAGGGAGTGAGACAGGCAGGGAGCTGGGTCCCAGCTGCTGAGACTGCCCAGCCATTGCAGGGAGTGGAAGGCTTCCTCAGCTTCCCTATGGTGAGTTAACCCTCACCCCCACACCACCTGTGGTTACAGTGTGGGCGGCAGCTCCACCCAGAATCCTCATTCTGTGCAACACCCCTGTTTCTTAGAACTGGGGGGGGGAAGGGGTGCACAGGGGACATGAATTGCCAAGGAGGCGCTCAGCAAAAGAGCTCTACCTCTGATCAAGAGGCTGCTGCAGCTCTCCATTAGCTCAGCAGTCTGGGCCACGCATCTAAAAGCGGCCAACCCTGCTGATGGAATTTTATCCTTTTTAAGCAAAGGTAACTGACCCACAAAAAGCTACACTAGAAGAACATTAAGGTTGCAAAGTCAAGCCCTCAAAAGTTAGAAGACACCTGAATTAAGGCTGCCTGTTCAACCTTAATTTGGCCTCCTCATGCCTATGCATTTGGCTACAGGCTTCAGTTACATGATCGCATGTTATTTTCCCTCCCCTAGGACTCCTGCCTCATTCAGTGCACAGGATGGCTGGTGTTCTGAACGCACAGCCAAACAATAGCTTGTTTTATCCTCATTGTTCAGGGGCTCGTCTTGTGGCTCATTTACTGCACGCTTACGCAAGCTCTGCTGTGAAGACAATTATTAATTTCCTCACAGCCTTTGGCTGTATAGTATATAAGGGCTGGTCTGCAGAAGTTTGAGGGGAGGGGGGGGGGTCAAAGTTTTAGTCTGTATTAGCATGTTGCGGACTAACTGGCCCATGGAGAGAATGATCTTGAAGGAATTATTAATTTTGGGTACCCCATTTGAGACCTAGGACCTCACACACACACACACACACACACCCCAGAGAAAACTTAGTGCATTATTTAGCACTTCTTTCCGTTCAAAGCCACAGCTCCCATTGACTTCACTTGCAATGTGACAGGTTTCAGAGTAGCAGCCGTGTTAGTCTGTATCTGCAAAAAGAAAAAGGAGGACTTGTGGCACCTTAGAGACTAACCAATTTATTTGAGCATAAGATGAAGTGAGCTGTAGCTCACGAAAGCTTATGCTTAAATAAATGGGTTAGTCTCTAAGGTGCCACAAGTCCTCCTTTTCTACTTGCAATGTGAGCACTCCCCACTTCTGCAAATCAGACCCTAGTATCTGGGACGATTGCTTTAAGTGATTTGCCCAGAATTGCACAGCAAGTCTGGCAGAGCCAGGAATAGGATCAAGTTGTTCAGGGCACAGTTCAGCTGCCTTCACCATGAGACCCTCCTTTCTCTTTCACTATATAACTTCCAACTTCCACAACAAACCAAGCAAGGGTTCTACAGACAACAGCCTCCTTCACTGCACAACCCTGCTCCCCCCCCGAAGAGCAGATTCATCCCATACACTGAATAAGGCAGGGGTCTTGTGTGTGGGGAGGGGTGGGGGAGTATTCAATCATGTACCTGTAATTAAAAAGACTTCCTCATCATGCATACCTCACAAGGAGGGCAAATTAAGGCTGCCTCTGCAACCCTAATTCAGCCGTTTCTTAACTCTCAAGTGCTTAGTTTTGCAAGGATAATTGGTGTACAAACACACACACACACGCAAAAGCGGCAGAGAGTCCTGTGGCACCTTCTAGACTAACAGACGTATTGGAGCCTAAGCTTTCATGGGTATATAAGGTGCCACAGGACTCTGCCGAACACTGCTACCCCTCGGATACTTTACACTTCCCTAAGTTTACTATACAACTCCAGCAAGCAGCAGTTTGAGTCACTGGCAATGAAGACAAGCACACATTGGGGTTCACATTTTACTTTTTTATTATTTAAAAAGCAACATAAATTTGCAAGCAACTTAGGGACTGCCCTCGGGCCTGCAATAAGCTTCCAGTGCAGCCTGCCCTGCAAGCAGTAGATCCCCTCTTCAGACCTGGCAAGGGGAAAAAGGCTAGCACTGTGGAACATACAACAGCTGTGAGATCTGAAGCATGTCAGTGGCGCTCATAAACTGGCATCCACAGTTGTGTCTTTTCCCGTGCCCACCTGGCAATAGCTGGGCTGACTTGGATCTGAGTTAGGTTCTTCTGCGAAGGAAGATACAGTAGGTTCGTGTCCTCAGAATGAGGACATGAAGTCAGAAAGAGGGATCACCAGACCCGCCAGTGAGTTCAAGGGGATCTCTTTACATCACCTTCTTCCAGCCTGTAGTGAAGAATTGACACAAAAATTCCATAGCGAACAACGAACGGTACAATCTTCTGTCTGAAGCAGTAATTACGGGGTGTACAAAAAGACAGCTGCACGTGAAGGTGTCTTGTTTGAACACTAAACCACACTGTCCTCAGAAGCGTGGCAAGGTGGCAGAGATGGAGGGAGTCCAGTCTTCCTGGCTATTCACCCTGCAGAGGACTGCCAACAAGAGGCCAAATTAGTGACAGGTGGGATGGTGCTCCTTTCCCTAGTTAAAAAAGGCTCACCAACTCCTCTTCTAAAGGGGCACAGTCTAGCAAGCAGATTGTGACTATATTTTGGTCAGCCAAATGGAAGCCTATACATTCTCATTCAAAGCCAATATCCAAGAGACCAACCGATACTGAGGTGCACATGGGGAGGGTAGGAGGAATGTGTAGTACGTGTCAGTCAGCTGGGAGTATAAGCTATGTCCGTGTGATAATGGAGCGTGGGGAAAGTAGGTAGAGGAATTAAATAAAATTACATTTTTGGCAGTAGTTCAAAACTTGCCTAAGGGGAGTGGACAGCATTGTATGCCCATGCTAGTTCCCAGTATTCTTCCCAAGCACCAGAATTCAGCTGCCAACTCTTTGGCCGTGGGGACAAGGAGCACCAGTTTTGTAGGGAGCTGGCTCAATCAACGTTTAGATTTCTTTTTCTTCTTCCTGTTTCGTTCCTCGCTGTCATCGTCAGCTTCGCTAGCTGTTGGGGTGGGATCCCTTCGGATGACTCTCTTTTCGACTGTGTAGTCCTGTTCTCCCACTCTGGGGTCTCCTTTCACCAGGAATTCCCTGTTCTGGAAGGTTATGGAAACATCAGTCCTTGGGTAGGTGCCATAAACCCTGCGGAGATCCTCCTTCACAAACTCTGGAAGTTCCCGCCTAGGTCCAAAGACCCTCTCTAGTTTCCCCCAGTGAAGCTCCCCTCTCATGGTGAAGCCCTGTGGCCATATGTCCTGACCCTGGCTTGGCCTCTGGTATGCTGCATATGGATTATAGTTTGCATAGGGGTTGTACAGAGACATGGGGGTCACTGGAGAGAAGTGCCAGAAGGGGTGAGGATGGAAGTATGGGTTGGTGCCATAGAAATGATGATACTCTAGTTGGTTTCCTGCATAGTCATGGTGGCCGTTCCAGTCCATGGTGGTGGTGACAGGCTGGCTATAGAGGTTGTGCATCTGGATAGGAGGGAACATTGTGGAGTTTGGAGATTCAACCAGTCTGCCAGGACCAAGAGGCAGGTAGGTGTACGGGGAGGGCTGGTTCATGCTTGGATAATGCTCTGGAGGCACAAAACCATAATGGTACATGGTCCAGATCCTTGTGTTAAACAGGGGTCATTGCTTCAAAGCAGCTTGTGTCCTGAGCTGTGGAAACAAACAGAAGATGCGGAGGACAGGATAAAAAGTTAAAACAAAAAAAATGCTTTGGTCCCAGCATTGTTCATGCAGCATGCTGGATAACAAATAAGTTTCCTAGAACTAAGGTGTACTGAGCAATTAACTAGCCTAGAGGAACAAAAAAAATGTAACACCTCACAGCAGGTCCAGCGTTTCCAATGTATGGTCAGATGCCACCCATTCACATGCAACATTTACCCAGATCTCTGGAGCTGCAGGACTAGGAGTAAGTGTTGCAAAAAAGCCATTTTGTAATTGACTTTTCATATGACCCACCAATTTGCTATTCCGACACTCCTGCTTTTGGAAGAAGCCAAGAATTTAAGGGTTAACCTCAGTAACATGTAGCGGTTAGGTTTAAAGGGTTTTGGTTTTTCTAAAAACTCATTCGCCTTTCTCGAGTTACTGGTTATGTCTGAACATGCTTGTCCAGGTTAGGACATCACCAGTGAAATTCCATTCCAGTTCCTCAACCAGCCTCATCACCAGTACCAGCAGCGTATTAAGCAGCAGGATTAACATCAGTTACACGTTATTCATTCTCTCATCCTCTCCCCTGGGGGAAAAGTTATGTGCTATGTATACACTGCTGTATGTTTATATTAGCGAAGGCAAGACAATGAAAGGCACAGAGGGCTGGAACAATTTGTATAGTGCGGGTGCTGAGAGCCATTGAACCAAACTGTAAACCCTGCAGGTCATAAAGATAAAGGGAAGGGTAACCACCTTTTTGTATACAATGCTATAAAATCCCTCCTGGCCAGAGGCAACATCCTGTTACCTGTAAAGGGTTATGAAGCTTAGCTAACCTGGCTGGTACCTGACCCAAAGGACCAATAAGGGAACAAGATACTTTCAAATCTGGGGGGAGGCTTTTGTTTGTGCTCTTTGTTTATGTGTTTGTTCTCTCTTGGGACTGAGAGAGGCCAGACAGAAATCCATCTTCTCCAGCCCATCCTAATCCAAGTCTCCAAAATTGCAACCAGTATAAGCAAGACAGGCAAGGCAGATTAGTTTATCTTTGGTTTATGTGATTTTTCCCTGTGTTAAGAGGGAGGTTTATTCCTGTTTTCTGTAACTTTAAGGTTTTGCCCAGAGGGGGATCCTGGGTTTTGAATCTGAATACCCTGTAAAGTATTTTCCATCCTGATTTTACAGAGGTGATCTTTAACCTTTTCTTCAAATTAAAATTCTCCTTTTAAGAACCAGAGAGTGATTTTTCATTGTTCTTAAGATCAAAGGTTTGGGGTCTGTGTTCACCTGTACAAATTGGTGAGGATTATCAAGCCTTCCCCAGGAAAGGGGGTGTAGGGCTTGCGGGGATATTTTGGGGGAAAGACGTCTCCAAGTGGGCTCTTTCCCTGTTCTTGGTTTAAAATGCTTGGTGGTGGCAGCATAGGGTTCAAGGACAAGGCAAAAAACTTTGTACCTTGGGGAAGTTTTTAACGTAAGCTGGTAAGAATAAGCTTAGGGGGGTCTTTCATGTGGGTCCCCACATCTGTGCCCTAGAGTTCAGAGTGGGGAAGGAACCCTGACACTGCATAGGATGGAAACCACTCGAAGCCAGGAGTGTGGTAGCACCCATAACTCCCCTAGTTCCAGCACGTATGGAAGTGCAACTTGCACTTGGAGCAGAAGGTGGTGAGGCTTCTCATGCTTGTGGGGCCTGGTGAAGATCATTCCCCAGTGTGAGAAAAGCTCCCCTCTCCTGCACAGACATGCTTTGCCCATGTGATGGATGACAATTCTGCTACTCAAGCAGAATGGGGCTAAGTATGGTAGTTAGCCCAGAGCTTTAGGTATCCTGCATCCAGGGCATTGTCCATTTCTTCAGGGCACTCCGAGACCTTGAGGAAAAGAACCTTGAACTGGACTGTGTTCCATGGGAAGCTAGCATGGAGAACGGAGGAAAGAGAGCCGGTCACTGGGGAGATAATGCGTGTACCAGCACAAATTGCTCTTCTAGTTTACCAGAATAAGTTGCACGATCATTTTACACTGGTGCAGGGTTTCTGAACAAGGGGTTTACGCTGTAAACACACAAATGCTGCTATCCCCAGTTTAGACCGGACTTACCGCGTTGCCGGCCTTCCAACAATGCAGATACTGAAGTGATAGGCGTAGTATAAACCTAAGCAGAGGATTATAGCTGCTCCAGAGAGCATACCTCAGCAAGCATTCCATCCAGACTTAAAGCAACTGACTGGTGGTTTATTTGGTACCACAAGTGCACACTCGTAACTGACCTGAGGCCATCAACTAGATTGACCGAGAAACCTATTTCTAATGCACCCATCAGAAAGAATGTAAAAAGAACCAGGAGAGGAATGGTGAATTGAAAATTGATTAACAACCACAGGTGTGATGAAGTAGAGGGTCACAGGCTCACTTCCTGCAGTGAGTCATCTGGTTGCATCATTCTGACCCACTTGCACCCTAACCGGGCTTTATTCGTGCTGCAATGTATCGATTCCCATTTAGGACAGACATGGTACCTATAGATCCCTGGGTACTAGCTGCAATGCTGACAGAGCTGAACAGATTAGGCACGCCCTGTATTCATTCAACAATTGTCACCTCCACTGACAAACTGCCCCCTATGCCTATGATCAGCATTTAAAGTTCTGCACGTTTCCTAGTCTTTAGATGGAGTACACAGAATAAAGCTGTATTGGTCAGCCTGGAATGGATCTTTCCATTCCCTTGTTGGTTGGGTCCTACTCTAAGAGTAGTGTTTCCTCTAAGAAAAAGGTGTGCGTGTGGAAGGACACTGTTGGCACAATCTCAGCCAGGAGGCTGGTTCTCTGAGAGCAGGGCAGAGAGAAACCAGGCCCATGCAGTAAGCACAATAAATCAGTGAGTTAGACACAGGGGAGATTTTTATTCCCCCTTTCCAAGTGGATCTGAAGTGACTTGGGAGCTGGTGGAGGTGTCTGACAATAGCTTGTGACGTGGTCATGCCAGTCTGGAATGGCCACAGAGAAGCAAGTTATAGAACTGTCAGTAACAAGCTGAAAGGCTAGATGAGCATCTCAACGGGGATGGAGTCAAGGAAAGATGCTTGGATCAGGAGGGAGCGTTCCATGTTGGGATCTCTACTAGCAGAGAGACCAGCATGACTGCACTCTCCTCTGTTTTACGCAAGGGTAGTGCCCCGTTGGGTTCCTAGCAACTTGCCATGGCAGCCTTTGTTTGGGCAACCCTGGCTGTGAAGCACTAGATGGAAAGTTGCCGAGATGGCTGGTAAAATGAGACTAAATTGCTTTTCCTTAGATGCAAGGACCTCCTTGTTCTACAGCCAGCCAGAATAACTTCGGCTTAACTTCTGGAACTGGGCCAAGCCTGCTGTCATGCAAGTCGGAGACTCCCAAGGAGTCAAGAGGAAGGCACAGCAACATATCACATGCCGCACCACAGAAAGTTCAGGCACCATTTCCCATGCAGACAGGTCACTCAGCAATAGGGCGTTACCACAATGCAGACAATATGCTACAGCACCGTGGGCGTTTGGAAGCCTGTTTGGGCCAGCCGGTGTTTGCCAGCTAGAATAATACATACCCCCCACTTGTTTTGCTTTCACAAGCCCACGTTCTGCAACTGTCTAGTGCTGCCCTGCTCCTTCACCTCCTCAAGTAGGGCTCTACCCAGAGACAGAAGAAATCTTAGCCATAACAGAGACTTGCTTTTTTACACAGATATCTGGAGGTCTTAATCCCAGTTTGCCAAGTGTGTGTGTGTGTGTAACTAACACCCCTCCTGCGTGTGTTCTGTCTCATCTAGTGGCACCAAGACCACTTAGAAAGAGAGATAAAATGAGTCTGCTCTACAGCCTTAGCTACGAGCCAGTTGGCTTTTAGTGCACGCAGTAGAGGCTTATGCACTAAGCTCCAGAGGTCCCTGGTTTGATCCTGCCCACTGACGACAGGGCTCTTTGAGCGTTACATGTTCAGTATTTATCTGGTAGGTCTATTGCAATAGAAGCAACACAGAGAGGGCACCCCCCATGAGAAGACCCTGTTGTGCTAGCTGGTCTACAGAAAGTAAGAGACTGCTCCTGACTCAAGAGAGCTTAAATCATGGACCATAGACACACTTTTGTCCCATCTCTACATTGCTGGGCACAGGATAAATTGGATGGTATAGACCCTCCAGTTCTTTCTTCCACATTCCTTTTTTTGGGGTCTTGCAAAAGGTGGGGTTTGCAATGCACTGAGAAAGATGGCTTCCACGAGGCTATATTTCTCAGAAGCTTCAACACCCATCCCAGCTGTCTGAGTCTGTATTAATAGCAGTTGCGGCCTTAGGCCTGTTGGCATAATTGGACTGACAAATTTACCTTAATTGTAAGCTCAGCTGTAAGAAGTAGCTGGAAGTTCATAAGACGTCATAACAACAGATAGCAACAAATGTTAATGGGAAAGAGATGGACTCAATTAGTCCAAACAAAAAGGCCTCGTTAGAACTCAAGAACTGTGTTAAGGTCATGCCTGGTACACACTAAAAATCAGTGAGCCAAAATTTGTGTTAGAAATTAGGCCTAATTGGGGAACAAAATGGGAAGAATAGTCGATCCACCCCCACCCCCACCACGCTCCCTTTTGGGGGTCTTAAAAAAGAGGACTTTTGGGGAGGAAAAATAGAAGCAGCTGTCTACAAACAACCACTGCAGCCAGCTTTGTCCTCATGGCTGTCACCCCCCAAGAGACAAAAAGCTAGCAAGGATAGGAAATGCGTTTTTCTCTTTCCTTTTGTGTGGGTTTGTCTTCTTAGGAAATGGGATCCAACTAACAACAAGGTCCAGCCCATCTCAGCTAACTTCTCCCCCCTGCACCCACCTCCAAAACCAAACAAATAGGAACAGTTATTACTATCTTAGATTCCTGCTAAAAGGCGGTCAGACGAGGGTGTTTTTGTCCCTTTTAAAACAGCTCTCCAGCTAAAGGGAAAGGCAA